AGTTTACTTATGTTATTCTATTTTGCGATGTTTGTTTTATGTATATGGATGTTTTTATTTCTCTCTATTTCTCTTTCTATCTGTATTTTTATTTTTAATCAACTATTATTTTGTAAATATTTAATTGATGTATGACAACACTGGCATTTACGCTGTACTTATAATTTATTATAAAGTGACAGCAGTCTCAAAATAATAAAAAAGTATTTTCATTTCAATTAATTTTTCATTTATTCTCTCCAAACCGAACAGTTTTGTATTCCGAAGCCGGACCACTTAAGTTCAATGGTTTTTAATTATTACTCAAATAATAAATAATTTAAAAAATATATATACTATAAATAAATAATTTCTTAATTAATTGTTTTGTTTTTTAATATTCGACTGTGATATATCTCAGTGATACGATATTCCTTTCGACGGACTTATTGAGATATAATTATAATAACTTATAAGATATAATTATAATTATTGAGGTAATCATAATATGATAATCATTTTCATTCAGTATTATATACTCTATAAATTTAGCTTCTATATTACAATATTACTTCTATAAAACAATAAAATATAACATATTTAACATCATAAGTATCTTATGAACATTATGTTATTGGATAATAAAATAAATCAACTCAATAAACCGGAAATTTATTATATTTTTTTTAATTACATTTATTACTACCTACTGCAATACAGCAGCCACACTGAGTGCCATAATTCGCAGCGTTACCGACTAAGGGTATCGTATCGTCGGGAGATATTGCGTTCTGTGTGTAACAGTCTTAACAATTTTAATCGACAGTATAGTTTTTCCCATCAATGATAATTAGAGTTCACTTAGGAAAAAAATAAATGAAATATTATCTCCACATTCTTTGAAATATGATAGTTTATACATTTTTCAAAATATAAATTAAGTGTATCACCGAAGTATTTGATTGAACCTAAAAAAGAAATAGAAACATGGACTTTTTAAAGCCATTCAAGAGTGAATTTAGATTGGTGCTATTGGAGCTATTGGAGGAGTGATGGCCTGTTCTGGAATTGGGATGGATTGATGGGACCACAATACTCCTTCACACGCTCCAATAATTCCGTTTGTTTTTGTCTATTCCCATTTTACCTGCTTTCTCTACGTTTTTATTTTATATAAATTTTTATTTCTCTTGTCTTTTATCTTTTTCATTCAATACTATATACTCTATAAAAGTAGCTTCTATATTACTAGTAAAACAATATAATATAACATCATAAACATCTTATGAACATTATGTTATTGGATAATAAAACAAATCAACTAATTACTCAATAAACCAGAAATTTGTAATATTTTTGAAGCAAAAAATAAAGTATTTTTTTTTAAATAGAAATTTGTAATATGTTTTAAAATTACATTTAACACATTTTATCAAAATACAGAACTTACGAAACAATTAGACTATCTTGTGACTTGACAAACGATCTACACTTCATTTTGCAGGACAATAAGAATGAAATTGATAAATTATTTTCTTTTCTGAAATGTTCTAAACATGAAAATACAATCTAATTCTAAATGAAAATAGGGCAATGATGACCCAAGTGGTTGAAGCCCTAAAATAAAAAATAAAAAATTACATTTAAAATTATCTATATTAGATTTAGTTAATTCAGAAAGAGTACGTTTGTAAGTTTTACTTTTTTTTTTGTTTGAGACTTGTTCTGGGAACGTCGTTTATAGATTCATCTTTAATGCCATAAAACCTATTATTCAACAAACAAAATAAAGAGAGATTGATTTATAACGCTATTTATAAATTATATATATGTATATAATTATATATATATATTTATCTATGAAAATTTAGTATAAAATAGTTTTGTAAAGTTTTAGATTGGTGGTGTCGGCATCGAACCTTCGAGTTCACTAATAAAAATAATTTTTTTTATTATTTATAATTGTAATTATGAAGTTTCCATATTGAAAAAAATATCTTAGCATTTATTCTGAAGTTACTGATTTAATTCTGTACACTTTAGAAATATTCATATTTTTTCACAATTTTTTTTTAAAAATTATTTATATAATATATTAAAAACAAATAATATTTATTTTAAGATTTTAGCTTTGCAACCATCTAGTGGATCCAATGAGCAGTTATTTATTATAGCTAGCAGGCAAGAAGATCACTAAAATTTTATTTTGACTAACATCAATATATACTATAAACAAAATAAACTACAAATATATACAAATTTTGTTTCTCACAAACTTGTAAAGTAAATCCAGCAGATGCGTGCAATATCACTAAAGTTGGATTTTTATTGCCCAGAACCGAAGCCTTTACTTTCCTTGTTTATCAGCTATTTTGGGTAAATATTTTGTTTCGCCGGGCTTCCTGACGCAGTGTTAGTCATATTTTTCCGTTGATCCTTTGCAAACTGAGAACATGTTTACAGATGGGACTGACAACGGCTAGCGACTGTGTTTATATCAGCTCTTGCAGATGGAGGCAGACCTACCTCAACAGAAGCCAAACAGTCCGGGGTCAGTGCACTCCTAATCGAACCGCGACTGAAAAAAAGTTGACGATGCGATCTCGAAGGGTTGCGAAATATTGCCTAGGATGAAAGGGGCTCCTTCAAACTGGACTCGGCGGTGGCCTTGCAAAAAACTCCATTACGTGACATGCATCTTGCATCAGCAATGAAATAAAACTTTGGTTTAGAATTTCGTTTTTTTTTTTAAGCCAGTCAATACTCGGAAAAGCATTTCTCGAAACAATAAAAAATGGAAAGAAAAACGTTATTCTCTATTATATTAGATTATTGAAGTGAAAACTTCTTCAGGCGCAATTTGCACTTTTTTTTCTGAAAAGTGAATTAGATTGAGCCGTCAGATCTCCGATGTGTAACGCTCGGGAAAAGTCGACTAATTAAAGTGTTTTTGCATATAGTTTAAAATATCTCAAAAACTAAAAATCGGACCAGCATTTTAGTATACAAGGGAATTGTTCAGAGTTCCATCCTCTTTATGAGGAACTTATATGAATGAAAATTTATAATGTTTATTTCACATTATTAATCTCACCTTCGTCTCTTATATTGTGTGGTCTAAAGTCCACACTTAGTTTTTTTTATTTGATAGTATATAGAAAATAACCAAATACTTTATCATACCGTTGTATAACACTTTACTAATATTAATTATTGGTAATTATAATTCCTGTTTGTATATTGCATAAAAAAGAAGAATCTTATTGACCGAAACCATTCTACGTACCATTTTATTTAATAATAATATAATTATTATGGAACCAGAAGGTTCGATGCCGATATTATCCATCGCTATTGCTGATATTCACATCCACTGACTGCTGCACAGTGGGACGAATTTGGGACGATAACTCGCGACATCGGCTAAACCTTTTTATACATTTTTTTCTAGAACTCCAAAGCTAGATTAACTGTTTTATTGATACCTTGCGGAGTTTCCGAGAGTATTTTCAGTTGGCAAAATATACTCGTTTCTAATTTTCTATTGAATAGTCTAATTAAAAAAAAAAATATTTAGTTTATGCCACGTGTTTCGCTTTCTCGTCTCACTGTGCGCCGTCCAATCACTACTCCCTAAGATCTTTCTTAACGCGATTCTCCCACCATCGTCTCGATCGCGTTCAGCACTAAGCCGAACAATATTGCATGCTCATTTTATTCGTCGCGAATCCATCGTCTCTATTCTATTAACCGGATAGAGTTCGTACAATTCGGAGTGGTGTATCCATCTCAGTTCTTTGACTCGTCCTTCTTAGGTGTAAATATTACGCAAGGTATTATAAAACCTCATCCATTAATCTAAGTGGTCACATTTCCGCCAAAAAAAAAAAAATTATAATAAATGAAAATCCTGAAGATGACTGTGATCTCGACTAAATAACTTCCTTTCCAATATTGTACACTATGGTCCGTGGTACATACCACTTTTTATCAAAATATTGACATCCGCTTCATCTCATCGTAATCTGCAGTTATTTAATTTACGAAAACTGTTGGAATTGGGGCGTTTTAAATTTGGAGGTCGAGAAACTTTGTGTATTTAATTATATACTAAAAACTCGTATATACCTATTGGCTTTACACGGTTCGATATTTTTGATGTCACCTTTTTTCTCGAGTTTATACTCAAATTATTTTACGATTTAAGTGGAAAGAAAATGAGTATTTACGAGTTTTTAGTTGCCAATTTTTCCGGAAATTTTCGTAAATATAATATTTTTAGGTTATGATGAGATGAAGCTATTTATGAAGTTTCAACCAAATGTTAATAATTTGATAAAAAGGAGTCTGTACTAGTATCTCTTTATTAAATATTAAACACAAGACCCTTCAAGGGTTGTAGTGATACAAACAAAAAGTTCTTATGTTATTTAGTTATAAATCTAAAGGAAACTTTTTTTTATAACATGTGAGATGCGTTTTTCGTAAGTACATACTTTTTTATGTACATAAAAATTTCATATAATTGCAGTTGTTGGGGGCATGACAGGTTTGAATTTTCTATAAATGACACTGGAGACTGGAAAGACATTGAAGCAAGACGGATTAGATTAAGAACAGAAGAAGGCGAACGAGAGAAGGCTTATACGTTGACAATAATCTCCGGGCTATAAAAAAATAATAATAACAAAAGTCGTGTTTTAATTTTTCGCAATATGCAAAATGGATTCGCTCCTCTCAATTTCCGCGATTCATTCTCTTGTTCCACTTTATTTAAAGCGCATTTACAAAGTAATTTCAAGGCGTCCTATCATTGCTCCAAGTTTAATGGAACCCGGTGCATCCCTAATCGTCCAATTATTTTTATTTTCTTTACAATGTTCTGTCACCGTTAGACGCCAAAGAGGCGGGAATAAAGCTCGTTTATGGTCGTTGCCAATATGACGGGAGCTCTTGGGTTAAATTGCGTCTCTTAGTCGCAGTCTTGTATCGTCAGTGTGGCAGGAAGGAGGGGGTAATTGCTAATCCGTGGAGTGCACTTTTTCAATGAACCTCTGGGGTAATAATGCACGGGGCTCGAACCGTGTCAGCTTCATGTTCAAGTGTTGCAGATGATCCTTGGGACTCGTAGCCCTCTTATAATAGCCAATTATAACTTGCTGGAGAACTGATGGAGTTTCACTACTCCAGGTTGTCTTAGGATTGTCCAGGCGACTACCAGGAACGGTAGATTGTGTCGTAGTCTGGAAACAGCACTTTATACTTGAACAAGAGATTTGACCCAGGGAACAGTAATAAAGGATCATTCAATATGAAATGACAATATTGCTTGTTTGTTGCTGTTTATAGTTTTACCACCAGGTCATCAATGTCTGGAATGACAATATTTCCTTCCATTCAATGTCATTCTTGAATGAAGGAAGGTTTTAAAAATGTCTGACAAGTAAATCAGTGTAGCTTCCTAATCATACGCATATATGCTTATGCAACACTTCACTGAGGTTATAATTTTGTTTAAAACAGAAGCTAATAAAACATACCTAACAAATCGCAACACTTTTAACAATTTTTATACCTGGTATATTTATACATATATTATCTACTCATATTATTACCATTGCATTAATCTTAAAAAAATAAATAAAAATTGATGAAATTTATAGCTGATCATTTGTACAATACTTCATTTCCCAAATTTCTTCCGTCTTCGCTCATAAGTGAAAATGGGAGATGGAATTTGACGAAATTAATGTTAGACCATTTACGTACCACTAGGACCAATTACTAACCACCCGAAATGACTTTCTAGGTACCCCCCTCCACCCAAATTCGTTTAACCACTTATGAGAGGAGACTTATAGTATGTTTAACTCCTTACTGGTCCAAACAATGTCCCTAAGTCAAAAATTGCGTCCCCACTATTTTCTTCTATAATCACTCTTTGACTGGAATACGGGAAGGTGCTGGTTGTGGTGTGGCAAGGTAGATGTTGATGTCTTGAATTTCCCATCGAGGGACTGGATTGTGCTTCGGTACATCTGGTTTGAGAATAATGTGCTGGCATGATTGATAGACATGGCATTTTTCGGACTGCTATGATGACCAATATATGGTGCTGCTGTGGTCCGATATTTGACTTTCTTAAAAATTATAGTGTAACGTGTTCTTAACAGTTTTTTTTTAAATAAAATTATTCTTTTACTAACTCCGCTTGCTAAAGACCAGCATGACCCTTGGCCTATTCTTCTCCACTTCTCTCTGTCCTGAGCTTCTCTCCAATCCAATTGCGAACCCATAACTTCCTTGCGTCTCTCTCCACTTCATCTTTCCACATGCTTCTCAGAGTTCCTCTTTTCCTCTTCCCACTGAAGTGCGCTTGCAATATTTTCTTCTGTACCGCCCATCTCAGCCTACTTGCCTTGATATAGTTAATAATGTTTTGATTCTCTAATATCCCCATTCAATTTCCTCTTTTACCACAAATTGAAAGGACAGTTCGCCAGTGTCCGTTCTTAAAAACAGGTTCGAGACCTCTTAGGAAATTCAGATTCCCTTCCTAAAGGTAAGTAGTGGCATTAATCTACCGCGAGTTATTTTATACTTTGGAGTTTGGATTTGAATGAGAACTAGGCTATAAGTCAGGAGGTGGTGAAGGAGGGCCCTTTGATCGGCTCTGGAATAAAAATGCCCGGGCAGGTCCCGTTATCCAGGTTTGGCCATTTCCATAATAGGCGCTCTTCTACTGACTACCGATGAGATCTTGACCTAGGTCAGCGGCTGTCCGGCTGATGTCTATTCGGTACCTATTGAGTCTGGGACTCCATGTTTAGAGAAATAGCTGAATTTAAAAAAGACCTTTCACCCACAAAAAAAAATAATAAAAAAAATAAAAAATAATCAATCTATTCCTCACCGAAGAGATAGAATAACACAGGAAGACCTTTAGGAGGATGACAGTATGCTCACTTATCACACTACCATGGCTTACAGCCGGCACTTACAATTTTCAGGACAAACATACAATTAAATTTAAAAAAAAAAAAAGTTGCAAATTATTCCCAAAAAATTATAAATCTAAGGTAACATTACATTCCTAGTGACAAAGAAAAAGAAATAAAAGAGTATTCCTATTATTGACCTAAACATTTTTTTTTTTATATCATTAGTAGTTTGATAAAAAAATATCCTTACTTTATTAAATCTTTCAAAACCTAAAACAAAGGATATAACCTTTGCAGTAAAACAGATACAAAATATCGAGAGACCATATCTTTGCCTCAAATTGTTCGATTTTTTAAATGACATTTCGTAAACTATTGAATAATCATTGAAATATCCATAAAAAAGTGTATACTATTTGAGTTATTCGGAATCTAATTTTACCATTCCTCGTAACATTTTTCCCAGCTACTTATTGTCGAAGTATGTTATATAAATAAATTTAAAAGATATCGAGAAGAAGACATTAACCAAGTTTCATTATAATCGGTACATTCGTATCTACAGTCTATAGCAACGCAGGTTTTTTGGCCGCCATTTTGAAAGGAAAAGGCGGATAGTAATGTTGATGAAGGAGTACCATCCTAGCATGATCTCTGATTTTAAATCCAAATTTGAAAAAAATCAGTACTGTAGGGCTAAGTTTTGATTTTTTCAATTACAATGGTTCATATTAATAATAATGAACCAAACTAAATTCCGTTTTTCAAATTTTTAATAGTTGCTAAATTAAAAAAAAAAATCTGTAAAATACTAAAATATCTAGGAAGTAAAGTTACAAGGGGATTCTGATACATGATTTTCTTGTGTTCTCGTCTCCTGGATTCCACAGTGATTATTATTTATTAAGATAAGCATTTAAACATGTATGCTTGAAATTTGCTATCTGCAAAGTTCTTTTTCCAATAACGACAAAGAAAGGAAGAAAGGAAGAGAGTCTCTTAATCACCCCTTCAAAATTCGTCGCAGTGGCATGAAAGGGTTGTAATTAAGTTTTAGGAGGCGATGTTGAAAGTCAGTTTTTGGTAGAAATTTTTATAGCATTGTTTTGAAGTATCTCAAATTGTTCTGATGTCCAAGTCCTTGTGTAGCAAGTCATTTGTCATATTGATAGGTTTTGCTGCAATTTTCTCCGTGCCCTATAGCTCTAAAGGGCACCTTATTGCCCTATAGCTCTATAAACCTATAAAAGTCCATAATGATTTTATAATTAATTTGTAGATAATAAATACGTTACTTAAATATAACAGTTCAAATTACTTGTGTTCTCCGTTCCTCCGTATATCTTGTACAGTTAAAGTACCAAATAACGCTCTTCTTTTGATGTAGGATTGGAAAATTATTGAATGAAACCTGTGGCTATGTACCATGATTTAGTTTAAATACAATTTTCGTTCAATTCATTCAGTGTGCATGGTAAGGTATCTATCGTACATGGAAATATGGAAACCAACGTTTCCAAACTTTTTTAAACGATGAGTCAAGTTAATTCTCAAAGAATTGATTCTCTGTTTGAGTTAATTGAGTTGAACGATTGAACACAGAATACACCCTTGATTTTCAGTGGTGCTTTTGTACGGAGCGGGCTGACCTGTGATAAATCGAAGTTTACGAATTTAAATCTCTCTGTTGGGTGCTTGAAACTCTGCAAATAATAATCCTCCGCTCTCACCAAAGGCCCAGTAAAAACCCCGGATAGCCTAAAGGGCGAGGGTGGGGAGAAAAAAAAAAACCTGTGCTTTTGTAGTGGTTGGTGAATTTAGAAATGCAAAACTTATTGATCTATGTTTTTTTTTTCTCTAATGAAACAAAGGTACCTCATTTAAGATTTCCTCTCGGAATCAGTACTTCATGCCAGAGATGAAAAATAGTGGAAAAGACAGTGAAATGCGGATACAAATATCACTTCGTGGATATTATATATTGTTTATATTTTTCTTTCAAGTCCGTTGGTTCCCTCGGACACTAAGTTCCAGGGTGACAGACATGAAAATTATTTTAATAGTAATAAACTTCTACTTTAAACAAATATCTATACCATTCACCGAGTTGGATATATATATATATATATATATATATATATATATATATATATATATATATATATATATATATATATATATACAATAAAATAAAAGAAGTTCGCGGATAATCAATTATATATCATTTTTAACAGTTTAAAACGATTTTAATCATAATCACATTTTCAAATTTTTCGTTACATTCATGATAAGATAAAAATCCATTGTGTCTAAGTTTATATTTGATGACCACTACTACCCGTTCTTGGCCATAGTTTACTGCTACCAGTACCAGTAAATTTCTTACAAGCTTAGAGCCACATCTTGAGGAGATTAACGTTCCTCTCTATACTCACCATTGGAATCCACCGAGATATTGAACCTTCCTTGGAAAACTCAGAAGACGTAACATAAAAAGTGGTTACAAAAACGGGCAGAATGCCACCAATCAGGCCCGTTTAGAGCCCGCAGTCCGGGTATGGAGTTGGTTCCAGAGCTCTATTTGGACTCGGTTTCTCCAGCACTTCGGCAGTTCTCCAGATTGATCGCTTTCCTCCTGGAGCCTAGCTAACGGTGGTGGTATCCAGTTTCTGAATATTTCATGAACCGATTTCCTTGCTCGTGGAAGACTTCGTGAGCTTGGGATCAGAAAATGTCTTCTTATTTCGCCGTGAGAAGTACAGATATAAATTTGAAGTCATTCTAGAACATAATAGAAAAGAATAAATAAGAAGGATCATTCAATTCTATGATAGATTACCCCGCCGTTCTGTTGGAAACAAGGGAAAGGGGACTTTTGGTATAAAGCTCTATATAAAAATTAAAAAAATAAATAAAATAAAATAAATTCTACCTTTTTTCTTCTTTGAATAACGTATATAAAGTTACTAAATGTAAGCTAGGGTCAAGAAAAAATAATTAAATGTTTATCATAAAAAGCATTATTGTTCCTTTAATTTTTCTTTCTTAGTTTTGTTTCCCCGAACAGAGCTTCAAAAACTACTTAAACATCATTTCATATACCATTTTTATTTCTTTTTTTTTATTTATTTATTTATTTATTTTATTATTTTTTCTTTCAAAGTAATTACCGATATATAAAAATAAAAATAAGAAGAAAGTTCCTCTAAAAGTAAATCAGCAATCGTCCCTTGGTCTAAACCAAAGGATCACCAATTTTAGATTAATTTTAAATTAAGTTTTAATTGTATCTGTCTATTATTTAAAAAAGCTTCTACTGTATGTTATATTTTATTTTATTTTAGTATTAGGAGAGTAAGAGGTAACCGGAGCTGTCTTATTAGCTTATGTAATTACCACTAATTACACAGCTATTAATATAATTAAATTTGTGTCGAATTAATATATTATTAATACAGTAATATTAATACCAAATAAATATTTTAGACTAAAAATGTGTACGGGAAGTAGTCTTTATTTATCTGGAGGTGGTAGTTGATTTTACCTAGGTGCCATTTATTTTTCGAACTAGACATTTCCCTCTGGAAACAACATATTAATTATTATATTATATATACCATTATATATACTATATTTTGATATGATTATAATTATTGTGAAATAGAAAAGGAAGAACAATATAACGAACAATGACAATATTAGAAATAACAGGCTCAAATTATTATTGGGCTTATATTATAAGAACAAGTTGAATATATATTATAGTTACGAATTGGCAATAAAAATAATCATAGTTATATAATGAGATAAGGTGATATTAAGGCGCGATGTATAATATGGATTTTAAAGAAATTAAAAATTTTTCCAAACTGTAGTATCGTTCAATTTATTTTATGTTGATAAAAAACAATACAATCTGGACAACAGAATACATGTAAATTAAAGTTATAGGATTTAGCAACGGGTAGTACAATTAATTGAAGAGTTGTATAATTTGTAAAATGGGGCTTGGGGGTTAGTTTATAAATAAATAAATTTTAAGTGTCCACAAAACATTTATCAAGTAAATCGGACCTGGCATATTTAAACCATTCATTCATACCTTTGAAATCAAAGAACATAGTTAGGTAGGGAACTGTGGTAATCATCTTGTCATTGAAGAAACACTCCAGATCGTCATCTATGGAAATTTAAGAATGAAATTCCAAGTGCCTAACAGTATCCTGAGGAAGTGAAGAAGAAAAAGAAGAAGAAGAAAGGGACAAACTGCTTCGGAGAAGAAGGATTCAAATCCGCGTGTTGTTCTCCTACGTGAGCACCATTCGTTAGGAGCTCGCGTTAAATGTTTTGCAGTT